GGGCAGAGACGTGGGGATGGGCAGGTGGGAGAGGGCATAGGCGTCGGGATGGGGCGGTGGGAAAGGGCAGAGACGTAGGGATGCAACTGAGGGAGGGCAAGGCGTGAGATTGTCGGAGTCACAGGGATGTAGGGATGAGACTGTGGAAAGATACCGAGTTAGAGAACAGGCAGTGGGAGGGCACAGGGAGAGAATTGTGGGAGATGGAAGAGAGGTGGGGATGGGGCTCTAGGAGGGCGCTGAAATATCGGGGGAGATAGAGCTGTGGGCAAGATTCGGGGATGCTCGAATGAGACTATGGAAGGGCCCAAGGAATTGAGGACCGATGTCAGGATGCCATTGTGCTGTGGAGGTAAGAGAGATATCTACAGGTGATAGAAAAAAAAAGTGAGGCTACATGTGGTAATGACATAGGAGGGGCTGGTTTGGGAGGAAAGGCTGGGAAATCGGCAGTCTCATTCCTCAAAGAGAGCTCCAGTCGTTGAGCTGGCCTTTGGTTTGTAGGGAGCAAGGCATGCAGGAAGGGTACTGAGGTTCTGACCAAGGCTGAGGATGCTCATAGCTGGCAATATCTCAGTGGTAATTCCCTTGTGGGACTTGCCACCCCCTCTGCAGAGAATATCGCACAGGGAAAGGAAAAGGGAACATGCATTGATTAGGCATCGACTGTGTGCCAGGCACTCTGTTAAATGCTTTAGCAATATTCCGTCATTTGATTGATAGTAACATTGCACAGAGGCCATGTGCAGTCTGTCCCCTCGATTTCAGACGTTTCTCTCCTTTCTCCTTTTGAAATGGAACAGTGATTTGAGGAGACATTATAAGTCTTGTCATCCGAGTCTTTGGTACTCTCTGTCAGACCAGTGGCAGGAGGATGGGCCTGGAGGATTTGTAATTCCATTCTGCCGAGATGCTTTTCCCCTCCCTCTTTCTTCTCCATCCATAAGCCTTCTCCCTGGGGGATCAGGTCAGAGCTTTACCATCTGGATCTCAGCAGGGGAGAGGAACCTCCTTCCTTCAGGGATCAGCTCCAACCCCTCTCCCCTTTATTAAAGGCAGGACCCAGCCGATGTCAAGTCCTATACTCTTGAGGAAGGGGGAAAGCCAGTTTCTGGTGGGATTCCAGTGTTCTGTGGTATTCTGCGCCCTCTGCTCCAGGCCTTAGTTTCCCTTTGCCCAAAATGGGGAGATCTTGAGGTAGGGTCATGAGGCTGAAGGTGAAAAGGGATTTGAGGGGTATTGAAACCTTCCCTAGAAGCCTTGGCCCCTAGGCTTACTTACATGGAATGAAGCACAAGTGGGGGCTGGGAATTACATACAGATCCTCCAACCACCTGGTCCCAGTCTCTCTGTTCCCCTCCCCCCCCCCCACCTAGGCCTATCCTTTCCCTTTCTTCCTCTTTTTTCTCTTCCCTCTATCCTTCTTCCTTTCTTCCTCTTTTGTTTTCCCCCTTTGCCTCATCTCTCAGAAAGCTGGGGTGGGTCTGGGAATCTAAAAAGAAGCAGGAAGGAGAGGGTTAGGAGCTTTGTGGTGGTGCTAGAGTTAAGGTGGGGAGAGGAGGAAGGTGATGGGGGGGTTGCAGTTCTACTTCCCCCTCTGTCAATGCTGGCTTTTCCGGGCCTATTGTTAGCTACCAAAGGGAGAGAGGTATGTTTAGGTCCCTCTAGGTGGGAGAAGCTGGGGGTGTTTGTGTGGGGGCGGGTAGAGGCACTGAACTGGGGGGCCTGTGGAAACAGAAATAGGAAGTGGAGTTCTGTTTACTGTGTGGGTGAGGGGAGACAAGGAGGGGGATTCTAACCTCTTCCTTTAGGGTTGGGTTATCTCCTTCTGGGTCCAAGTTGTCCCAATCTAGCCATGTGAAGTTCTTCTCTCTGGGCCCCTTTAAGTGATTCCTCAGCAAAAGGACAGGCTTCCTTTAGGAGAGCATGTTTATGTCTAGTTGTGAGGGGTTATGGTAGAATTATTCCCCCTCTCTTGAGGTGGGGAGTGGGCCTGGGGGATGGGGTAGGCTCCCCCTTAGCAGGGAGGCCTGGCTAGGTTAGTCTCTGTCTTTGGGATCCTTACCCCAGCTCACCTGCGTGGCTGTTTCTTTCCCCAGCACATGGTGATGAGTTTCCGAGTGTCTGAGCTCCAGGTGCTTCTGGGCTTTGCAGGCCGAAACAAGAGTGGGAGAAAGCACGAGCTACTGACCAAGGCCCTGCAGCTTCTCAAGTCTGGCTGTGGCCCCAGCGTCCAGATGAAGATCAAAGAACTTTACCGCCGTCGCTTCCCCCGAAAGGCCCTTGTACCTTCTGAGCTCTCGCTGCTGTCTCTGCCCCCGGGAGCTCCACCCATCGTCCCTCCTGGCCCCTTGCCACCTGCCCCCTCCACCCTCCTGCCTTCAGGACCCCTCTTGGGAGGGCCTAAACGTGAGGCTGATGTCCACCCTTCCCTGCCCCAGCCAGTCCACCCTGATGTCACGATGAGGCCACTGCCCTTCTATGATGTGTATGGGGAACTCATCCGGCCCACCACCCTCGGTATGTTGTCATCGTCCCTTTGAGCGTGACGTAGTAGACCCCTGACGGTGCTTGGTATGAGCATGACCCCCTTTTTCCATCCTTCTCCATTTACATTCCCATCCTAAATAAGGAGCTAACCTACTGTTGGGACAGCTAGATGACTCAGTAGATCGAGGGGGTCTGGGGTCAGGAAGACCTGAGTTCAAATATGGCCTCAGACACTTACTATGTGTGAGGCCCTGGGCAAGTCACAGACCTCCTGTTTGCCTTAATCCACTGGAGAAGCAAATGGCAAACCATTCCAGCATCCTTGCCAAGAAAACCCCCTAGTCAATGGTGTGCTGTGGTCCACGGGGTCACGAAGAGTTGGATCCAGCTGGACAGCCACAACCTGTTGTCCCAAAGTGCTGCCCCCAGAGGGCTGAGCTCTCAGGCAGGGGCGGTCTGCTTACTTGGGTGGGGTACCTGTTGGTGGCTGACCTTTGTCCTGCTCAGTAACCGTGTCCCTCCTCTTCTGTGTACCTAGCATCCACAAACAGCCAGAGGTTTGAGGAGGCTCATTTCACCTTCGCGTTGACACCACAGCAAGTGCAGCAGATCCTCGCCTCTAGGTACCTGGACCCCCTCCCTCTGATTCCCCTCGTCCTTGATCGTGTTTTTGCGTCCTGGCCTCTGGTCCTCATCTCTTGACTCCAGCTCGGATCTTCCGTCACCTTCCTATCTGTCCCCCTCATCTGTACGTCCATCCCTTGGGCTTCCTTCAGGCCCCGCTCCCCACCCGACTGTCTTCTTCCCCTGTCCCATACTCTGCAATCTCTGTCCTTCCTTCTGTTGTAGGGATGTCCTGCCCGGGGCCAAGTGTGACTATACAGTACAGGTACAGCTCAGGTGAGACAAGTCCCAGAAGACATTCTGATTCCCCTTCACCCCAGCACTCTGGGAAACATTGGGCCATATCCCCTCTGGGTGGTGGCGGTGGCTTCCTTAGACCAACGGGGTATAAAGGCAACCCCAGGGAAGGTTCGACAATTCCATCTCCTGTCTTTACCGTCCCACAGGGGCTTTTCTTGTTTGTTGTGAGACACATGCAACTTGACTTATCACAAAATAAATGCCCCTGTGCTATGGAGAGTGGCATTTTCTGACACATTAAAGTATATTCATTCAAAAAAGTGTTATTAAAAATATTCCCTGATGGATTCTCCTATTGGCCCATCTCAGATGGCTGCTTTCCCATCATCCAGACCTTGTTTTCAGGACACTTTCATTCCTTGTCCAGAGGTAGATAATTCTTTCCTTTGGGATAAAGGAAGGAGGGAGTTTTTTTCCTTGAACTTTGTAGGGAAGAAATAACAATCTTATCCCTGGGTTTGGCCCTTATTTTCTCCTTCTGTCTGCAGACTCATAGCCTCAGGAGCTAGACCTCTAGATAGTAACTCCCTGTACCTTCTCCCCCGGCCCCAAATCTTTAATTAGGTTCTGTCTCTGTGAGACCAGCTGTCCCCAGGAAGATTATTTTCCTCCTAACCTCTTTGTCAAGGTTAATGGGAAACTGTGTCCCTTGCCGGTAAGTGACCCCTTTCTGACCACTCCCCCCCCCAACTTGTCCCAACAGTCTTCCAGTCATCAGGTGGTACCATTCTCCTAGCAGTCCCATCCCTACATCCTTGCCCTTTACAGATCCATCTCCCTTCCAAATGGGGATACTCTTCTCTAAAAGGGTGTATGTGTAGTACCAACCTCCCTTATCAATGGTGCTGCATAGATACCAGGGCTGCTTCTGCCCTGACCTCCCCCACCACCCATTCTCTCTAGGGTTATCTTCCCCCAACCAAGAATGGGGCTGAACCCAAAAGGCCCAGCCGACCTATCAACATCACATCCTTAGTTCGACTTTCAGCCACTGTCCCCAATACTATTGTGGTCAACTGGTCATCTGAGTTCGGCCGGGTGAGCTGCGTGCCTGGGGTGGGAGGGGTCCCTGGGTGGGACGAGTGGAGGGAAAGAGGTGAGGCATGTGGTGTCTGAGGGTTAGATTTTAGAGGAGGGGATATACTTCTGTTGGGTTGGTTAGCATAACCCACTGCTTCTGGCCCCCTGCCTTGCTTTGGAGTAAGTACCATGGTAACAGGGGAAACCGATACTGACATTCTCCCCAGAATTATTCGCTGTCGGTGTACCTAGTGAGGCAACTGACCTCAGTGACGCTCCTGCAGAAACTGAGAGCCAAGGGCATCCGGAATCCAGACCACTCTCGGGCACTGAGTGAGTTATAAGATAAACACCCCGTTCTCCTCTCACTGATTCCGAGCCTCACCCTTACATTCTTCTCTAACCCAGCCTTCTTCATGTCTGACTTTTCCTGGATGATCCCTTATGGACCTCAGTCCTGTCTCATGATGTGTCTATTGTCGTCACTGGCCCCTGGGGCTATTCTGATCTCATGACCTTGGCTTTGGTCTCTTTTCAGTCAAAGAGAAATTGACAGCTGACCCTGACAGTGAGGTGGCCACCACAAGCCTTCGGGTGTCACTCATGTGCCCGGTGGGTACTGGAAGAGGAGAGACTTTTGGGATGGACGGGGTGGGAAGGCTGAGCTGGGCTCCCAGGGTTTCTGTTTACTGTGATAAAGTGTCCCAGAAAGGAGAAAGCTGGCTAGAGGAAATGTGATGAGAAATCTTGCTTTTCCTCAGTTAGGGAAGATGCGTTTGGCTGTCCCGTGCCGGGCCCTCACCTGTGCCCACCTACAGAGCTTCGATGCTGCCCTCTACCTGCAGATGAATGAGAAGAAGCCAACATGGACTTGTCCTGTGTGTGACAAGAAGGCTCCCTATGAATCTCTGGTCATAGATGGGTATGGCCCACTCTGCTCCCACTTGTCCAGGACACCCAGATAAATCCCCTTCTTTTCCTTGACATGGACAGTAAGAATACCCCCTAGGAGAGCTTGGGCACTGATGGGTATGGCTACTTCTACCCAGCTAGACTTACCCTGGAGATCTCACATTTCTGTCCCTCTCTCCAGTACCCCTCCTCAGGTAGTTCGCGTTGCTCCTAAATTCCTGCTTTTCTCTTGCCCTAGGCTGATGTAACCTTGGACAGTTATATGCCCTAATCTTCTCATGACGCTCCATAACCTTTTTCTTCCTTCTCCCAGATTATTCATGGAGATTCTGAATTCATGCACTGACTGTGATGAGATCCAGTTCATGGAAGATGGATCCTGGTGCCCAATGAGGCCCAAGAAGGAAACACCAGAGGTTTGCCCCACGCCAGGGTATGGGTTAGATGGTGAGTAACCCATGACTCCCTGTTGATTCCCAGTTGGGGTTTAGGGTTAGATGATGTCTGACCATTTCTCCCTTCAGTTATGGCCTAATGACATCCATCCTGAGACAAAGTCCTTCTAACATCTCCAGGTCCCCCCTTTGGTCCTGGCCCTGAGGGCAAGCCCCCAGAAAGCAAGAAGAAGATTGAGGTTATTGACCTCACACTTGACAGCTCTTCAGATGAGGAAGACTTGCCCCCTGCCAAGAAGCACTGTCCAGTCACCTCGGCTGCCATCCCTGGCTCCCTCGGAGGCAAAGGGTACAGAGAATTGGGCTGAGAAAGAAGTCGGGGGAGAGGACAGGGTTTAGAGCAGGAAGTTTTCCCAAGATCACTGGGGAGATGTGGGCATCGGGAACAAGGGAGGTCACAATGTTGCTTCTTGAAGATATGCCTGCTTTTCTGTGTAGTGGTGAGGGGCTGGGGTTGGCATGGAGGCCGGGCTGATTTGGGACACAAAGGAGGAGATGGGTGGACTTTGGAAGACCACCTGAGGGTGACTGTAGCTGGTTTTCCCAGCTTCCTCTCTCCTTACAGAGTACTGGCTACCAATCACCAGCCATCATCTGTACTCCGGAGCCCAGCTATGGGCACCCTGGGCAGTGACTTCCTGTCCAGTCTTCCTCTTCCCGATTATCCACCAGCTTTTCCACTGGGGACTGAAATCCAGGGTATGACCTAGACCCAAATATGGGTCCCTCCATAAGAACCCCCTCTGCACCTCCTGCTCCTCAGATATCTGTAACTTCTCAGGGAATCCCCACATCTGGGAAATTGTGGACAGCAGATACAGAATGATTTTGACTTTTCTTTTTCCGTTTCCTCCCAGGTTTGGACTTATTTACTTTCTTTCAGAACGAGAGTCAGGTGAGAGCTCCTTTCTCCTTCCACCAAAGTGTCCAATCTCTGTAGCCTTTTAGAGGTTTTCTTTCTAACTCTCACCAAGGGATCTGCTCTGGCTGTGAGGAGCCCGCTTTTCATCCTTTTGCCATGTGGGATAAGCCTGAGGTGATGGGCAGGCAGCTTATTTCTTTTTGGAGTTCTAAGGAGCAGAATTTTAATTTTAGTGCTGGAAGAGATTCCTCAATTTACAGATTAGGAAATAGGCTCAGGAGGTCTGGTGGCTTGGTAGGCTGGAACTGGAACCCAGATATCCCAGTCCACTCGGTCCTAGAGTTCTTTCCACCCCTCCCCCCACATATACCAGGCCATACCCTTCTGACGCCCAGACATTCTGTTCATTCTAAACGCCCACAACATTGGAGGGGGACAGAGATAGTGGGATGTCTCTAGCTGGGGATAAATGCTCTCACACCCTTGGTGAGCAGGTCTTTTGAGAGAAAAGCCCTCAAGTGGATTAGTCAGCCTTTTCTGGGATGTATAAGATGTGGAGGCAGTATGTGGGAAGAGTCTGAGGGGCAGGAGATGGGGGGGAGGGTGAAGTCTTAAATATTTTCTCCCCTCATTCCCCCTCAGCACTACAGCCCTTCGGTCATCACCTCAATAGATGAGCAGGATACCGTCGGCCATTTCTTCCAGTACCGAGGCACCCCTCCCCACTTCCTGGGTCCGCTGGCCCCTGTGCTGGGGAGCTCTCACCGAGGCTCTCCTCCAGCACCCCCTCCAGGCCGAGTCAGCAGCATCGTGGCCCCTGGGGGGGCCCTGAGGGATGGACATGGGGGACCCCTCCCTCCAGGCTCTTCCCTCACTGGCTGTCGGCCAGACATTATCTCCCTGGACTGAAACTCTAGGGTCCTGGACCTCCTCACCCATCTCCAGCACTGAGTGGGGACAGCAGGGGAGCCCTGTCCCTCAGCCCCATGAACTGATTCCCTTGGGGGTTCTGGCCAGAGGCTACAAGCAGAAACTCATGGACCTGTGCTCCTGGCCCCCTCTCTGCTGAGGGAGAGGCTAGCACCCAAAGGGTTAATATTTAACCTCCTTAAAAGGACATTTTGGGTTTAGTTTTGAAAATGCTCTTCAGATGGAGTCATGTAAGCCAAGAAGGGGCAGGGAGATGTAAGAGTTGTGCCTAACTTTTGGGGCTGGATGGTTTTCCATTCTCTTCTTCCTTTCCCCTACTGCTCCATGTGTCTTGGAACTAGATCGGAAGCAGTTGGAGTGGGAAGCGGGTGAGTGTTGGTGGGTGGATGGTTGGATGGATGGGAGATCTCGATCGGTCCCCCTCAATACACCCAATATTTCTTCTATGTCCATTCATTCCCCTTCCGCAGATGGGACAGACAGATGGAGAGACAAAGATAGGGCCTGAGATCTCTATTTTCAGTTGCAGCTTTTTGTACATAAATGAGAAAAACCAAAAAACTCCAAAGATGACCTTTGCTCCTTTCTCAGTCTGACTGAGGATGAGATCAGGAGATCTACCTTCTCTGCCTCTCTAAGGTTTGGGATGGGAGAGGAGGTAGGGTTTTGTCCTGTTGCCTGGTTCTCTATTTATATATATATAAATAAATATATATATATATTTAAGTTGATGATGATTCCCCAAGGCCTCCCTATCCTGGGGTCTGAGTTTCCAGTGGGATCCATAGTCTTAACAGTTATGGTCATGGAACTCATTCTGCACCTTTGGGGGGGGAGACATTCAGTCCCCCCTCCCCCAGATTCACCCTTCCCTCTTTTATGACCTTTGTTTTAATTTAATTTCATATTTCCAAAGTTGTAGCAATGTTCTCAACGACAATAAAGGTTGTGAATCCTATGTATGTCTGTGGGGAAATGGAGAGTGCCTCATCTATTTGGCTTTCTTGATGTCTGTATTTGAAAGATGAAGCCTTTGCCTCCTTTGGTGGTGCTGAGGTGGGTTGGCATCTGATGTCCAGTTTCATTCTGATTCTGGCTTTGGGGAGGGGTGTGTGTGATACTTTGAGGACCTACGGTCAGGATAACAGGACAAAAAGGATGTTGTGACCTACACAGGTATACAGCATTGAGAAAGAGTTTCCAAGCGTTTTCCTCACCTATGAGGGAGGTAGTGCCAGTATCTCTATTTTACAGTGGAAGAAAGTAAGACTGATCATGAGATTATTAGGTGTTGGAATCAAAAGTCACGGTCCTATGTTCAGGGCTGCTTCCCCTTTCTCCTGACAGTGTTCAGCCCTGCCCTCCCACTTAAAGCACTAAAACTGACCGGTTTAGATCTGCACATACCTCTTCCCTTACCTCTTCAGATGCTGTAGCCATAGACCAAGGGCAAATTTAGTTCCCATACTGACCCTCTCCTCACTCTCCCTCGTGTTCAGAGACGTCCGGAGCAGGGTAGACAAAGGCAGGTCCAGGCTTTGGGCCACATCTCCCTGAAGCTCCATGACCCTGGGACAGAAGGAACCCAGGTCAGGGTCTAGGATTCTTAGGAGCATCATCATTCTTCTTGGCTGTTCCCAGAAATGGCCAAGAGATTATGGTAGAGTGGACATGCGTGGACCCAAGCGGGCAGATTGGTGGGAGTGATCTTTACTTACTGAACAAAGGGTGGCAGGTATTGAGGGAGAGGTTCAGTCATCTCTGGTCCATCTTCAGAGGCTGCCACGGCCGCCAATACATCGGGCTTCAGCCAGGCATAGGCACTGACCTCTTCCCGGTTTGGTTGGATCCGTTCCTGGGGGTCGGACACTTACCCTCAGTGGCCCTTGATAACAACTGACTCACCAGACACCTGTCAGAGGGTCTTTATAGGGGGCACACGGGGAGAGCTTTTCTCCACTGCTTAGGCTTTTATTCATAGACCAACTTCCCCCATTACCCACAGCCACATTTCCCTGTCCGGCTGTCAGCTCTACCTGTAGCTGTTGCTCTGTTTCCTGGGAAGTCACCAGTATGTAGAGAACGATGTGGTGGTATCTGGGGTAGCCTTGGTTCAGCATGGGCGGATAGGCAGACTAGGAGAGGGAAAACACAACAGGTGAAGATTTTCTGGATCCAGACAGGATACCCCAACCCCAAATGGTTCTCAGCAGTCAAAACACAAGAAGGGGGTATGTGTAGAGAAAAGGTCATAGGTTATTGGGCTGTAGTCTGGGGCCTTGGTCTGCAGGGAGGTATTTAAAGTAAGAGAGAGAGAGTGTGTGTGTGTGTGTGTGTGTGTGTGTGTGTGTGTGTGTTCGCGTGTGTAGGTGTGCAGAGCACTGTTCTCCCTGGAGCAGAGGGCTGATTCCATACTTGGGGGTGGTGGGTCCTTGAACACAGAGCGGTCTCCCCATGGACTCTCACCTCCCATAGTCCCAGAGGGAACCAGGAGTACTGGCCTTGGGGCAGCTGCAGACCTGTCTCCTCCCACAGCTCCCGAAGCCCCCCATCCAGCAGCTGGAGATCAGAGGAAACTGAGTCAGGTGGCCAGCCAGAGCTGACATCTGGAAGAGGCAGCTGTCAGGCTGCTCCGGTTCTTTCCCCAAGTCCTGGGCTCCCACCTCCCCCACCCAGGCCAATGCAGTTGTTTCAGGGCCACCGGAGTGGTCCCCGATAGGAGGCATCCATCCCTTCAAGTTCAGGGCATAACGGCTGTAGTTACCTCCTCATCCAGTTCCACGTGTCCACCTACAATAACAACGGGGTGGTGACTGTGTGCCCCAGTCTGGGACCCCTTCACTCTTCTCCCCCTCCTCCCCCGAAATCCTACAACCGCAGAGGAGCCTGGTCCCTGCCATGAACCCGCGTTCCACCCCCACACCCATCCTGGGCCCCCGTGGTTGGGCAGCAAAGCCACTGAAACGAGGGTCTCTGCCGAATGAGGCTGGGAGAGGGCCGCAGAGGGCCACGAGGAGCTCCCCAGCGTGCCGACCTCCCCTTCTGGGCTTGGGGGAGAAAAGGGTTCACCTGGAGGGACCCAGAGGTTGGGGGCCGTGTGCATGCTCGAGGCCCTCCGGGTCAGGAGCACGCTCTGGTCACGGGACTGCAGGAGGACAGCCACCCCCAAGTCCACTCCCCGGTCGGGCGGCTGCTTCGGCCCCGCAGCTGCCGGGGGCCGCTGCTCCAGGGCCGAGAAGGGGCAGAACCTGGGGCGCTGCAGGGAGTGGGAAAGGACGTCGGGGTCACCGAGGCCAGCGCTCTCTGCAGGCTCCCCCGGACCACGCCTTCCCCCTCCCCACTTTTTTCCCGTCCTCCCTGCCCCCCAGGCCCCCTCCCCAGGAGCGGGGCGGCGGGACCTGCAGCGGGAGCTGCGCCGTGGCGCCCGAGAAGGAGCGGTCCGAGAGCAGCAGCCGCCCCCGCTCCAGGCCGCAGTAGACCCGCCAGGGCCCCGGGCCGGGCCCCAGGCCCAGGAGGCCGCACACACTCCGCGCGAAGCTCGGGGGCTCCGGGCGCCCCGAGAGGAGCAGGAGCACACGGGCCTGCGCCATGGCGGGGGCGCCCCGGGCAGCGGCTCACACGGCGCCCCCTGGCGGCCAGCCTGGCGGGAGAGCGGACGGATCCGGCCGCACGCCTGGCGTGGGCGGGGTAGGGAGCTGCGGCCTCCTGCCGGGCCCTGGGCTACCCGCCACGTGGCCCCCGGGTCTCTGCGCGTCTAATGGCCCCCTACCGGGGACCCCCGGCCGCCCGTGGCTGGGGTCAAACCCCGGCGGGCACTCGAAGCGCTTCGCAGCCCGGGCCACCAGGCTAGGTCCCTACAACCCCACGCTTTTGCGCGGACTTGGTAAGCGCCTACTGTGTGTATGGCACTCTGCGCAGGAGGGCTCCCAGTCTTCCCCGAGTTTTCCGTGAAAGCCCCCTTAAGTCACAGGTGACCCTACACACACACCCTCGTCCGTATTTCTACATGTATATGTGGCCTCTCCCAATAAAATGGAAGCTCCTTGGGGGCAACGAGTAATGTTTCTCTTTGTCATCTCCAGTACCTACCTAGGAACTTACTAATTGCGTCTCGATCGATTAATAATAGCTGGCATTTATACGGCACGTTAAGGGTGGCAAAGTTCTTTACACGTTATTCCATTTGATCCTGACAATGACCTGGTGAGGTAGGTGCTTTATTAGACCCAACTAATTAGGGGAGAGCAATCCACTCAGAAAACTGGAAAGGCCACTGGCAGGCAATTGGAACCATATATACATATCCTTTTCTTTTTTTCCAGCCCGCAGCTAGGAATCTCAAGAAAAAGAGGTAAGGAGTGATAACACTGTAAGGCCTGGGCAAAGACAAGAGATTTCGGTTTGACTGAAATAGCTCAGCACTATTCTACTTGGAACCTAGCTGCCAAGACACTACTTACTCTTGTAAAATAAATAAGGGCTAGATATGCTAGAGAAGCAGTGGATAGTGCTGGACCTGGAGTCAGGAAGACTCATCTTCCCAAGTTCAAATCCAGCCTCAGACACTTACCAGATGTATGACCCTGGGCAAGTCACCTAACCCCATTTGCCTCAATCTCATCTGTAAAATGAGCTGGAAAAAGAAATGTCGGACACGCCACTATCTTTGCCAGGAAGACCCCAAATGGGGTCACAAAGAGTTGGACATGGCTGAAAAATGTCTAAACAAAAAAGGCCCAAGGTTCGACTTGCCTACAATCAGAACGCCCACCAATTGGACAGCCAGGTCTCTGGGCTCCTGGACTTTCCATTATGCCATGCTACTACTACTGATACCCTCCCTAAAGCAGCACTGAACTGCCTGCTTTTCTAATATCTTCACATGGAACATATTCCAGTTGCTCCTCATATACTCACTGCGGTGGGCAGAGCTGGTGACATTCTTACTGTCTCATGAATAAGGAAAATGAGGCCCTGGGGCTCTACTTTTGTTACTGACTGAAGGGCACACAGGGGCAGCAGCATACTTTGGATTCCTAGTCTAATACTATTCCTTTGACGTCAAGCTGTCCAATTGTACTTGGAAAACCCTCAGTCAATAAACATTTATTAAGCACCTACTGCGTGCCAGGCCCTGAGCTAAGTCCTGGAGACACAAAGACTTATCTTTGAGGGAAGGGGCTCCGGCTCATGGTCTAATGGGGAGACAACATGCAAACTATTCATAAACAAATCTTGGACGGGATAAATTGGAAATAATCAACAGAGGGAAGGCTCCAGGATTGAGGGGATCAGCTCAGGCTTCCTGTGGGAAGGTGGGATTTCAGCTGGTACTTGAAACCCGGAAGTATTATTTTCTCTGAAAAGGCTATCTTGCCCCATCCCCCCAGCTCCATCATTTTCACTTTCCCCTTTTGGGCCTTTGGTCCTTCACCTTTAGGACTCAGATACAACCCTGGCAGACATCATAGTAGCTGACATTTACATAGCACTTTCAGGTTTGCAAAGCACTTCCTATTATCTCATCTGATTCTGACAACTCTGTCAGGTAGACCCTACTGGTATCCTCATTTTACAGATGGGAAAACGAGGGCTTAGAGAGATTAAGGAATTTACCTAGGGGCACACAGCTAGTGTCTGAGGCAGGATCTGAAATTGTGTTTTGCTGATTCCAAGTCCAGCACCTAACCATTATGCCACCTGGCTACCTCCCAATACACCAGTCACTGCTGGTCAAAGGCAGAATGAAAGAGGCACAGAGCAGGATTCACTGTGTTGTGGCTCATGATGGCATCTCTATGCCCAGAGAAGTATGAAGAGCAAGCTGTCACTGGCCTGAGGCAAGACTGGCAGCTGTCAGAATTGGTGCCTTTTTTCCTTCTGGTATCCATTCCTGGGAGACTGGGGCATGTGCATGGGCGTGTGCACATGCATGTGTGCGGATGCCACTGGACACCTGCCTCTGCACAATCCGTGGGTGCACGTACCAAAGGTTTTCAGTCTCTGACGGAGGGAGTCTCCTGGATGGGGGGAGGCTGGGGAGTAGGTGAGTTAAGCAACCTGAGGTAATACATCAAATCTGCATCCTATAGGAAGAGCAGAGCTAATGTGCCTTTTATTCCTCCCCATGCTCTCCTCCAAGGAAGGCTTTCCCCTTGAGTCAGGCTCTTTTCATGGTACTCTCTGTGTATGACTCCAGCACAAAGATGGTTTCATCCACTTGGATCTCGCTGGCATCTAACCTGCAGAGAGATAAAAGCGTGTTTTAAAGGACTTGGCTCTCACTAGGGGATGACGGAGGGGGAGAGTGGTTGGGCTGACAGGAAGGCAGTGCTGCCTGCTGGGTAGAGGGCTGTGCTTGGAGTCGGAAGACCTGGGTGTGAATCCTGCCTCCCACATTTCTGAGGTGTGTGACCAGAGACAGGCCAAGTAATTTCTCTGGACCTTGGTTTTCTTATCTGTAAAATGGAGGCCAGTCTAAGCACTGACCCTCCCAGGGGTGTGATGAGGATCGAACAGGGAAATAGAGGTAAAGCATTTCCAATCCTAGAGTGCCCGATCATCTGAGGCCATAACGAACAGCTCAAGATGCCTAAAGAGAGGTGCTGGGGCAACGCCACCCACTTGTTGACGTTGCGCTTCAGACCCTCCAGCTGCTGGCGCTCGGGAGCCGTGATCATCTCCTCGATCTCCTGGAGCTGGGCCTCTTCGGCCCCTGTGGCCTGCATGGATGCGAGGATGGCTTCCACCCGCTGGGACTTCTCCAGCAATCGCCTGCCAAACATGGAGAGTGACTGCTGCCCACTCTGGGTACCACACCCACCCCTTTATGGACAACTCCCACCTTGAATGTGCTTTTGAACCTGAAGGCTACTGGCTTCTGGGGAACTCTTCCATAAACCCACCTGGAAGTGGAAAGGACTGAACTCCCAGAACCCTTAATCTCACCCACACACGAGGGATTGATACAGAAGTCATATTTGGAAATTTCACATGAAGTTAAAAGGGAACATTGTTTCTTCAACTGTGCCCGTCTATGCACTTTAGCCAGAGTGACTGCTATAAAGCTGATCTCTTCCACCTTCCTGGGACTCCTGAGATTCGGGAGCCCCAGTGACTCACGCTCACACTCTCTGCCTTGATCTGTAGAAGCTGCTTAATTTTCCTTTTCCTTCTATCCACTGTGTTCGCAGGCCCCCACCTTTCTCAGAGTGGTAACAGTCACTTAGGTATGGAATTTTCTTTGTAATTGCTGGTCCCCAGGGAACAGTGGATATGTCCCAAAACGCCACTTACTTGTTCTCTTTGGTCTCAAACTGCCGCCTTTCTATCAAGTTGGCAATGCTCTGGAAGAGAAGACAGATACCATGTACCAGCCCAGCCCAGAAGCATTTTGGGAGAAGTGGGGTGAAGCAAGGGGAGCCGTGGCAAGAGACGCCGTGGGCAGGTACCTTGTAGCAGCGACGCAGCAGCATGCGGGCAGCAGACAGGGAATTCACCGTATACAGGTAGAAGGTTCGAGACGGCGCATGGTCAGGTGTTTTAGGGATCTCCTGTTTGCAGAGAAGGGCAGAACACACACAGCTGTCCTGCTACCCTTGGTCTTTTCTTTCTCATTAGCTATCCTATCCCTGGGCTTGAGGCAAGAGTCACCTGGGCTAACAGCCTACACTTGTTCCTGCATCATCTCTCTGTCTGTGACCAATGGGGAAGGTGCTCCTGAGCAGGGATTTCTACTAGCACAGGCTAGCCCCTTCTCTGCTACTTATGATGGCCCATGGTCTGGGCGCGGCCACCCAGCCAGCGTGTGTCAGAGGCAGGACTCAAACCCAGACCCCGGTCCACCACACCACCCTGCCTTTGCATCTTTTTTTCTTCCCAGGCTTCACATGCCACATTTCGGTTGACTTACACTACAATCCAGTGACACCAGCCTTCTCACTGGTCCTGATTCTGTGCATTTTGACTAGCTGTCCCCCAAATAAGAGCCAGAATGCTCTTTATCCTCACCTCTACCTCCTGGCCTCCTCCTTCCTCACCTCCACCCTCCTGGTCTCCTTCTTCACCTCTAACTCCCAGTCTCCAATTCTCAGTTAAAATCCAACTGGTTCCAAGAAGCCTTCTCCCGGCCCCTTTTCTCCTAGTGTCTTCTCTCTTAAGCTCAGCTCCATGTTATCCCCTCTGCCCCATTGGACTGAGCTCCCTGAAGACAGGCATGGCTGTTTCCTTTCTTTGTATGCTCAGCGCTTCAAGGCACAGTACTGGGCACATAACACGATGCTTAATCAATGCTTGTTGACTGACAAAGCATGAGCTTCCTGAGGACACAGACCACAGTTCCTCCCTTCTCTTGTCCCAGGGCCTGCTACAAAATTCTCCACAGGATAGGGCCTCAAGTTTATGCTGCTGACTGACAACCTCAGAGAAGACTCTGCCACGACTCTAGGGGGCTGGGAGGGGCAGGGTTTAAGATGGGGTGATATGACACATCTCACAGATCTGCCCTCCACCTGAGATCAGCGAGATCACCCACCTCAGGTGACTTGTCCTGTCTCTGTAATTTCTCCTCTCAGACTTCAAACAGGGAAACTGAGATACAGAAAGAAGGAAGGGCCTTTCCCCCTCAGCTTGGGAAGTCCTGGGCAGGGGCAGTGCTGGGTCTGTTTCGAGTTCTCACCCCTGCAGTTTTTTGTTTTTTTTTTTGGTGAGACAATTGGGGTTAAGTGACTTGCCCAGGGTCACACAGCTAGTGTCAAGTGTCTTGTCTGAGACTGGATTTGAACTCAGGTCCTCCTGACTCCAAGGCCTGAGCTTTATCCACTGCGCCACCTAGCTGCCCCCTCACCCCTGCAGTTTTTCTCAGCCTAGGTCCTGCCCGTTTGCTAGTGTAGCCATGATGCCCTGGTTACCTGTAAGGAGATAAGGTTTTCTGACAGCAGCTTATACAGCATGTCCTTTGCTTCTTTAGCAGGAATCATGGCAAAGTCTTCCACTTGCTTCTGCTCCAGGTGCTTTTTCCGCAAAACCAGCCGGAATATCCTGGCACAGCGAGACCCAAACCTGGAAGAGGGTGGGGGAAGCCAAAGCTCAGAGACCCGGGGGCAAGTCCTGCCTCCCACCCTGCAGCCTGGGGCTGCCCCTCATTCACACAGTGGCCGTTCTTCTATTTCAGCAAGAGCCAAGAGAAGGGAAGGTAGAGTCCTTCCCAGCTCCAGAGGGTCTGCTGATGGTCACTATCTGCTGCTCGGGGAACAGAGGCCAAATCAATGACCAGACTGGAAGCAAGTAAATCAGCATCACACCAAACTGGGATTTGTGCTGGGGTTCATAGGAAAGATCCCCACCCAGTCCATGATTCTGCAGCAAGGCGGTCGGCCCTGACTGCTTCTCAGGTTCCTTTTTGCTTACCAGGGGACCCAGGAGTAAACATCACCTGGGCGGGGGGAGAGGAAGGACAGGGAAAATGACAGAGTGACAGTGTGACTCTGTTCCCAAACACAGAAGGGAGTCATTCATTCAAAGCTCCTCTCTTACCTTTCCTGCACAATGGACTCCAGTGTTGCCATGGCCAGTGATGCCAATGCCTTGTGGAGGTCTGGGTAGGGAGCATTAAGGTCACTGAGCCAGCTTGGGCCTTGTGTGGGCCTAGAAGTGAAAGACCCAGGGAGCCTGGTCTTGGCAGTGTATGGACGGGTGTGTGTCATATTGTTTTAGGAGGAGGGCACTGGACCAGCCATCTGTCATTTCATTCCCAAGACCATGGGAAGTAGGATTTTATAACTTGAAAAAGGGCACTGTGAACAGACTGTTTTGTGATTTCACTTAAACTGTGTGAATTTGATAAAACCCTAGTTCAAGGGAATCCTCAGACTGAATCTTATTAACAGTAAATTTTTTAAAAATTACTAAGCCTTAACTGGAAAATTCTTTCATGTTTTACTTTTGTTTCTTGGATGATTTAGAATCTTGTGGCACCTCATTATGGAGGGCAAAACTATAAGCAGAGAACATGTCAAAGTTTCTGTGCTGACCCTAGGACTTATTCGAGAAGCTGCTTTTTTTTAAAAATAATTCTTGCTATCAGGTTTTCTTGTCATTAGTCTTTAAAGAAAAATTCAGTGTGCAGAAAAACATTCCACATTCGGTGTTCTAGTTAATTGTGTCTTTTTCAGAATCCTAAGGGAAGGGACCACATTTCATTAAGCAGGACTGGCTAGTCTGTGTGTCTGCGAAGGAAGGATACTGATGACATACATTCCTCCACCGCTGTCTCCTGATTTCCCAACAAACTCTAGCTGCAGGAAGAGAAGAGAATGAACCTTTCAGAGAGCTCCATGACTGCATCATAGGGAAAAAGGGTGGACAGAGGCTGTTGGCAGGCAACCCTCTTAGAAAAGGTTAAAGTGGAAGGAATGCCTAGGATTGGCTGAGAAAAAGGCTGGAGGAGAATGACACCAGATGTCAGTTGTAGATATATTTCAGGAGAAAAATAGATACAGGAAAAAGTCCGACTTACTGGGTCATCTGCCAGAAGAGTCAGATACTGATCAAGGACTTGCTTTGAAATGTTATATCCAACGGGGAGAGATCTGAAGATCTGAAGGGCAATAAAGAATAGTTGGTAGGCTTGTGTTCTTGGGGATTGCTGGCATAAAGATAAATGATGCCCTGAAGGGACGTGGTGAACAGTCAAGCCCTCAGAGATCTGAAAGGGAAGTCCCTGTAGAGCCAGTAGGAAACGTGCTAATGACTGAAGGGCAGTCATGACGTGGCCATAGAGGGAAATCAGGGAACGAAATGGGTTACTCAAAGTTGTAGGCTGGGACACAGGGCACTTGATCATAACAGCATCTCATTAATTATCGTTTTTGATGTGATTTACAAATGCTTCATATATGCCTTCTTGTCTGTCTCTCTTTAAATACTCATCTAGTTAAACTGGCCAGCCAGCTGTTGGCCATGCACAACACTGCCTTGGCACAGGTGATGTCCTCATCTTTGTGTGTGTATTTTTTTGTTTTTTGTTTGTTTTTAGGCAATCAAGGGTGAAGTGACTTGCCCAGGGTCACACAGCTAGTAAGTGTCTGAGGCTGGATTTGAACTCAGGTCTTCTTGTTTCCAGGGCCTGTTCTCTATTCACCTAGCAATGTAGCTGCCCCTGGTGTCCCCATCTTGAAAGCACTCCTTCCTCCTGTGCCCCTTAGAATCCTTAGCTTCCTTGGAAGCATGGTTTAGGTGCCTTTCCAGACCTCTTCCATTCTGGGTTTGCCCTCCCTCTTCAAGTTATTTTGTACAGGCTGTCCCAAAAGTCTTAGTGCAGCCATTAGGGTTTAGTAGCTTTTGGGACACCCTTTATCTATTTCATATATTTGTATTTACTGTACCCACACTGCCCCAGGCAGGGCAGGGATCACTTCATCTCTTCTTGGTACAGTAGTCTTAGCACCTCAGTGCCATGCACAATCTAGGTGCTTAATCCATGTCTGATGAACAGATGTGAACAAAATAAACTTTTCTTCCTTTTTGGTTCTACCTCCAATCCCATCCCAAGTGCCCACTCACACCAAGCAGATGCAGTGCACTGCACAGCCACCTGGACACAAAGGAAAAGAAGCTGTCCTAAGAGCCACACAACTGAGGCACTCACCTCATTCGAAGACAGGGGCTGCGTGAAGGGAGCGCAGGAGGAAGTTGTGATTTCACTCATCCGGAGCATGGTCCGGACAATCTCGCTGCTGGTCTGTCAGGATACAGTCTGACCTTTAGGAACCCCCTCCCCGCCCAATGGCCCTGCTCCAGCCCTGCCCCAGGACCCGCCCTCTCCAGATACCTGATCCATTCTGTTGGCTACTGCGCTCACAATCGACTGGTCACGGAAGTGCTGGTGGAACCTGTCCAGGTCGGCTTGCCAGTAAATGCCATCATCTGGAATGGGCTGGGGGTGGAGAGGCAGAGTGAGTGGCAGCGAATCAAGGAGTCAGGGTTAGCTGCAGGCATGAGTGACATAGGTCATTTCCTAAAAGCACACAAGCACCCTGGAAAGTGCATAGAATGATTTAGGAATAGAGTACTTCCTGTTGGTTTGCCCTGGCAGAAGACTCCCCTTTGGACACTGCTCCGTGGTCAGTGAGGTCCAGGCTCTTACTACTCCTCATCTGAGCGGCTCTGCCTTCTACTCCGTAGTTGGCCCTTCAGAAGGGGGGGGGCTCCCATCCAGGAAGCACAATTTACCTCTTTGCTCTCTGCTGTCTGTTTGGGCCGCTTAGGCCTTGGCTCCCCGGCTGCATCGTCATCAGATGATCGCCTCCTCTTTCCTTTTCCTGCCAGACCAAGACAATTCGGTTACAGTCCCTCTGTGAGTAGCGGGGGCTGAACACAAAGACGTAGGTGGGAGTCTCTCAGACCTGTGGCCACTTGGGGGTGGAAGCTGCTTAGAAAGCCGAGGAGCCCCAAAAGACTGAAGACGACTTTCTCCAGGTGACTGACAAAGGGAAGGGTGCTGGGAGGAGTTGATTCTCAGCTCTGAGGGCACTGACCACAATGGGAGACACTTTCTGATAGGGTGAGGGAACAGGTAGACCCAATGTGTCAAAAAGCTGGATAGGTCTGGCGGGAGACTCCTTACCTACGAGGTTCAGTTTGGGAACCAGGTACATATCCTTCTCGTTAATGCTGAGTGTCGGGGCGGGTGGCGGTGGCTGAGCGTCAGCACTTTCTGGGGGATCAGGAACAAGGGGGCATCGTTGTACAAAGTGCGTGTCTGCTAGACGGCAGAATGTGCTGGATACCTCGGAATAATCCATTGTTTTCCCATCTGCACGAGAGACAGGGGAGAGCAGATGGGCCGGGCTGGGATGGCTAAGGCTCCACAGCCAGCCCGGCGGTCACCTTACCCTCCATGGTTTCCGTGAGTCGGTCGGCCACCTTCTTTACCACGGCCGACATGGTCATCTTCCCGTTGAGCAGGAGTTCCTCAACAATCAGTTCTCCCGTGTCACTGTACAAAGTCTTGGCTGTATAGATGTAGCGGGGATACCGCAGGATGCGCAGAATCCGGCTGCAGTGGGCTTCATATTCCACAACCCCCCGTTTGTGTATCTGGTATGTTACCAAGTTATGCTGGATAAGGACACACAGGGCTTTTTTCACCTAGGCAGGCCCAAGAGAAAGAAGAGGAAACAGAACTCAGCACATTTCTAGTGTTCCTGAGAGGCCACACGTGGAGGGGTGCTAGTCAGGCTGTCAGAGAGCACTTACTTGGTGCTACCGTGTGCCAAGCAAGCACTGGGCTAAGCGTCAAAGATACACAGAAAGTCGTTTAGACTTCGGGTAGGGGGTGAGGGTGGTGGTGATAATATGTATCTAAATAGGTAAATACACAGACACTTGACACTTATTAGATGTGTGACCATGGGCAAGTCACTTAACCCTGATGTCCTCACCAAAAAGAAAAAAAAAGGCACATACAAGACACACAGAGTGGATGGACAATAACTGTTGTCCCACAATGGGGTTCACAACTGCTGAAGGGGTCAAGAGTGCAAAAAGTTTAAGAAGCCCTGCTCCAGCAGATTAGGGAAGGGGGGGGAAGACTGGGGATGGGTTTCCTGCAGAGGGTAACATTTGAGCTGAGTCCTGAAGGAAGTCAGAGATAGAGATGAGAAGGGAAAGCCTGTATCTGATTTACTAGCTATGTGACCTAGCAAGTATCCTAACTTGAGTCTTAGTTTTCTCTGCCAAATGGGCATAACAATAACTTTAGCAACTTCTTCACAAGGATGTTGTGAGACTGAAGAGAGCACTTTTCGAACTTAAGACTTTCAAGAATCTCATCAGTGGTTTGCTAGGAATTCCCTGCTTTCCTTTCACCAGGGCATTTCCTGACAATGGCCAAATGCCAAAGGAAAAAAACAGAAGACACTGCCATCATGGTGACTCTCTCCTTTGGCCCCGTCCCTTTGAAGCAGTCTTCCCACATCATCCTTTTTTCTTATAGGTTATACCAGTAGTTCTAGGTATCTTTAGAGGTCCTGAGACCCTTCTGAGGGTCTTTGAGGTCAAGACTACTTTCAAAGTAATCCTGAGATGTTTTAATTTCCAATATGGTAAATATCGATAGATATCATCCAAATAACAAAACCTCTTGGAGGAGACTACCCTCAATTTTTAAGAGTGTAAGTAAGTTCTTTTACTAAAAAAAACTGAGAACTTCTGGCTTTTATTATACCCACTCTCATAGTGAATAATTAAGGTGCAGACTGGGGAGAAGCAGTCTGGGACAATGTTACAAGGGTCAGATAGAGACAAAGAAATCCGAGGTCCATATCCTGGGTTTTATCATGTAGGGCTCCTAAGAACTTGGGAAACATATTTAATCTATCTGGCCCTCAGTTTCCTCATCTGTAAAATAAAAATGGTTGGAATAAATAGGTTTTAAGGTTCCTTCCAGCCCATAGATCTATAATCCTCTTGATGGAATACTACTAAAGCTGCCCTCACCCCCAATATTTTAACTTCCTTATGGGCCCCACTGAACAGCAGGCCCACTGCCCCCCCCCCCCAATATCCTAACTTCTTCATATATGCCTCACTGCTCACTAAAACAACAGGTGGGTCCATGAACTCATATTTCTCACAGAAACAGCAGGTGTGTCCATGCACTCAACCACAACCACATTCACCTAGTCTCAGACAGGACCACAACAGTCAGCCGATCAGAAAGGGGCAGCACCAGGATGCCCAAGCAGGATGTGGACCCCAAAACAATAGAAGGGACTTTCCCTAAGTAGGCACCAGGGCAGTAATAGCAAAAGCTGTCCTTTAGGTGAACTTATGATGTAGAGAGGCTTATTATAATATCATTATCATACATACATACCCCCTAAATGGATTTTTCTGTATGCATTGTGGGTAATCATATACATAGTTCCACTGAGGCTGGAATCCCTCCCCCATTACCTAATCCCTTAACAAACCCCTCCTGCCTTTTTAATATTCATAATTTCTGTTATGTAATTGCATCTTAACCCTACAAAAATTTGTCTTGCTTTCACTAAAGTTACTGGTTCCCATTAAAACTTAGCCAGCTTCATGAGAGGCTTCAATCTCAATAAATGGATTAGAGGCGGTCTGACTCTGAATTCTTTGAGACAGTGTCCGCCACAACACACCATGAAACCACAACACTCTGACATTCTCATTTTGGATTTCTCTGACTTTTGTATCATGCCCCTAGTAAACTTATCATTGGGAAATCTTACAAGATCCAACTAACCTTGATTGGTACTCATCCCTCATCACTGTCTGTCCCTCTGTTGGAAAGTGGAGCCAAGGGGCAGCTAGGTGGTGCAGTGGCTAAAGCTCTGGCCTTGGAGTCAGGAGGATCTGAGTTCGAATCCAAACACTTGACACTTACTAGCTGTGTGACCTTGGGCAAGTCATTTAACCCTGATTGCCTCACAAAAAAAAAAAAAGGAAAGTGGAGCCATGAAACTCCTCAATCTCCATTTAAGAGCTGGAAGCAGCAGAGACCTCATATCCCAAAGAATGCAACTTATTTTGGACTTCTCTCTACCATCTCTACCCTGACTCCCACTTTCTTTAGTATATTCCCTTCAGCTTTCTTTAGTATATTGTCATCTCCAATTAGATTTTACGCTCCCTGAGGGCAGGGCCCATCATTCTTTTCTTTTTCCTATTTGCATCCCCAGCACTCAGTACAGTGCCTGACACATAGAAGATGCTTACTAAATATAGATTATTATTGACTATTGAGGGGGATCAGGGGTACTCATGGAAGCAGAGTATCCTTCCAACAAGACTTCATTTAGAAGGAGCAAAGCAGATGTTGTGCAGACTTACCTGATCTAGTGATGTCCCTGTGTCATGGACAATTGCTCTCAATGGTTGGCTGCCTGTTCTGATAAGATGAGTTCCAATTTTATCCACTATCTCTCCAAAATGCTCTTGGAGCAGCAAGGAACATAGTTTAATTTCTGCTTGAGTCATTGTGTTATGAAGTCCCAGTACTAGCAAACTGGACCTAATAAAATGATTAAAATTTAAAATGTTAAAAAAGTTAAAAGAAAAAAAGAGCCTTTGCTGCCTCTCCTTCTTAAATGGAAGTTGAGGAGATTTACCAATGATAAGTTTATTGGGAGTCAGAGAAAGTCAAAGAAATCCTAACTAAGTGCAGTAGGAGAATGCAAAGAAAAAGTTAAATGATGGAAAATGGCTTTCCTTCAAGGTATGGACTGGATTGACCTTTGGCTCTTCAATAGAACTCATATCCACACTTCTGGGTAGCATTAAAGCCCCCGGAAAAATAAACAGCTTATTAGAGAAATGAATGAAACAGTACTTATTAATAAGTACTCACTGAGCAAGCACTTAGTAGATGCAAAGCAACTGGGCAAAGTCCTGGGCATGTGAAAAAGAAAGAACAAAACAAGGAACAAACAGGAATGACAATGGAGAAACCAAAAAGAAGGAAAGGGAAGTTTCTTAAACGAATCTTGTAATAAGATGGCAAAATGATAAAACTCGAAAGCTCCTTTCTATAGAAAGGCCAACACACCCACGAATAGGCCAATGTGAGCTTCACATTCCACCAAAGAAGAAAATGTTCTTTATGGAGACCCAGGAAAGAGGTGGAGGAAGGCGGGAAGAGGGAACTTTGCATCCCTTGTGTTTGATTTGATGCTGGACCGTCCCAACGCAGTGGACACCGAGGCTCTGGCCTCAGGAGAGGTAGAGGGGCAGTGTGCCTGCGCACATCTTGGCTCATCAAGGGCCCATCCCTGGCTCTGCTCCCAGGCCCTTTCGACTGTAAGCTCCTTGAGGGCAGGCACTGTCCTTTTGCCTCTTTTGTATCCCAGCGCTTACCACAGCGCCTGGCACATAGTAGGTGCTTAACAGATGTTTATGAACTATTACTGAACTGAATGGCTTCCTTCCATCTCTTTCCCGGTGCCCCCTTCTCTCCAGAGCCTCCAGCTTCGGGGAACGACGAGAAGAAATCCCCCGTTACAGCAACTAGGTCGGGCCCAGTCTCCGCTTCTGGCTCCGAACCCGGAACCTAGCTGCTTACAATCACGATTCCGTCCTCACCCTTATCACTCCGGGACAGTGAGCTGCGGAGACCACCCGGACAGAGCTCTTCCGCACTGCTCACAACTCCTTCCGGGTCTTCTTCCGGGGACTCAGGCACTCTCACGTTCTTTCCGCTCCCGGGGGCGGGGGCTGCGCAGGAAGGGATAAAGAGTATGCCGCTCTACACGCCCTCCCTGTTCTTCGCGATTTCCGGGCAGACGCGTCCCTTATTCTCGCTGGCCCGCAGGAGGACTGACGTTTGGGAGCCGACGAGCTCGGGGGTTAGCGGGAGGCGCCACTCTCCTGGCCGTGCCGGAAGGGCCTCTCTTTCCCTCGCCTCGTTGGTCGCGGACTTGGGGAGCGGTTTGGCCGCCGCCGGCGCGTCCGTCTCGCTGGTGCCTCGGCGGAGTCACGTGACGCGGGCCGCTGGTGCTGCCGGCTCCGGCTGGGGGGCAGGAGGAGGAGGAGGAGGAGGAGGACCGGGCTGTGGCAGCGGGCGGGAGGGCGGCCGGCCAGACGGGCACGGGAGAAGATGGCGGAGGCCTCGGCGGCGGGTGCGGGCGCGGGCGCCGCCGTCCCCCCGCACCGCTTCTTCTGCCACTGCTGCAAGGGCGAGGTTAGCCCCAAGCTGCCGGTAAGAGACCCGCCCCCCACCCCCCCCGCCCCGGGGCTCCCACGGGAGATCCCTCGCTCCTCGGCCGGGGGACCCGATCCCTACGCGTCTTCGTTTCCCCGAGCCCTCCGTCTCCGAGCCGGCGGAGGGGATCCCGGACCGAGCCTCCGAATCCCTCCTCTCCCTTCCAGCCCCCTGCCTGTCCTTGGCCCCCCCTCCTCGCGTGGTAGCCCCTCGCCCCAGGGAGCCCTCTGCCGCCTCCTTCCCCCGGGCCCCCGCCCCTCCGGCTTCTCTCGCCTCTCCGCACCTTCTCCCCTGGTCTTCCTTCATCCTCTGGGGTTTCTTCTCCACTTATTCCCTCTTTCCTTCTTCTCCCCGCAACTGTGATGGAAGAAGTCGCCCTCTTGTCCTCCCGCCGGGCTAGGACAACGGGTCCCCGGGCTCCCTGGGGTCGTCTCCGGGGCAGCAGCCTTGTAACGGGGAGGTGGAGAGGCTGCTGGGGGCGGGGGAGGGATGAACTGAGCCTCGGGTGCCCTGGTGAAAGTGAAGGAGCTGGAGTCTGATGACTCTCAGGCTGGCTGCTCTCCCCCCCCGTTTCCACAGCCCTGGGAAGGGCTGGATTGTTTCAGCCTTCTGTGAATTTTGGTCCCGATATCGGTGATCTCTCTAGTATCACCATTCCACCCCCACCTCCACCCCCCTTATTTTAAAAAAAAAAAAAGTGCTGCAGGAGCAGAATGTAGGCTACTGCATCCTCTGACGTACAGCTGGTGTTCACCTGTTTCTGCTGAACTCCCTCTTTGTCCTCCGAAGGGTAGTGCTGTGCTGGTGAGGGAAGCATTCCTGTGGCATGCTGTCCCTCTGAGCCCCAGACCCCTCGGTGATGGCCACCGAGAAGCACCCACCAAGGTGAATGAAGGTGTGTGTGCATGTGTGTATGTGTCTGCCCATACACATACACACACACACAGCTGCCTTGCCAAGACATTTTCTCTGGAACAGGCTTTTGGCTGTTCCTTTGCTTCGACAGTGCCCGTGTTCCATTCCAGGTACAGTGTTAAGGGCAACCACAAACCCAGTTACATCTACAAGCGCTGTTTGCAAAGCACAGATGAGTCTTGCTAATGTGAATGAGCCCTTTGGAATCAGGTTTAAATTGGGACTCTAAGGTACTCCATACATGGCCTATAAGACCTGGGAAACGGAATTCCTAGTCACAACACTGTGCAGTGAAGTGTCTAGCTAATAAGTACCTATATAAGTCCTCCTCCCTGCCTCTGAATTTAGTTTAGAAGTTCTGCTTGAATTTGTTTTCTTCTGCTGTATTCCCTCCCCCCCCCAAAATCTATCTTCAGTTTCATCTTTGCTGCTTGCTCTTGGTTGCTGACTTGACATTTTTCACACAGTGTTTCACTTTCTCTGGGAAAAGCAACTGTCTTGCTCTTCCTGAAGAGCAGACCTGGAAACCTTTATTGACCTCAGGGTCAGTGTGGAGAGCGAATCTCAGCTGTAGACAGGCCTGTGTGATCTGTGTGCTGTGCTGGCTGTGAAAGTGTGACCCTGTGGAGCATCGAAGCCTCAGCTCTGTTCTGATCTTTAAGTTCCTGTTCTCCATTTTAATGTCTGAGACCAAAACAGAAAACTCAGGGAAATTTTTATTCTTTTGCTCTTTTCCTTCTTGTTCCCTAGTACAAACTCCCCATTTTGAACATTTTAAGATGTTTTCTAAAGCCTCAATTAAAATAACAGTAGCATTTGCTTCATGGATCCACCAGACCCTTTTAGCTTTGGCATACTCTATTTGGTTGGGTTAGGCCTCACTTTACAATAAAATACTTATTGAGTGCCTACTATGACCGTACAAAGCATAGGTACTGTGGGGAATACCGAGAAATGTTAGGCAAAGCCCCTACCCTCAAGGAACTTTGAAGGTAGTTGAGGTGAGCAGTCCTGATTGTGTTTGTGTGTGTCTTACATTGTAAATTATGAGTAAGTGTTGCTGACAATAAATGCTAATGGAATTAGGAGAGGAAAAACTAGTTTTGAGCTGGGGTTGTGAAAGAAGGCTTCATTCACAGAAGTGATAGGGCTTGAGTTGAGTTTTGAAGGATAAAGAGGAGTCAGAAAGGAGCTGAGGAGGAGGGTATTCCAGCTGAGGGGAAATGCTGTATGTAAAGGTGACGAAGACTGGAAGGTGGGAATTCATGAGGCATATTTGGATTTGGTCATCTATAATCCATCTATATCCTTGCTTTTCTTATATTTAGTCTTTTGCCTTCTTGGAATCTTGAGTAGGATAAACTGAGCCATAAGTGATCGTAATTTAGATTTGTAGTTTAGTTGCTATATTTGTTAATGAGCTTTAGTTTATTCTAGGGTCAAAAACTATATCTCTAATCCCTTGAAAAGATATACCTTTAGTCATAAGGCAAACCACACCAGAGAGTGTCTATAATTTTCTAACTCCTGGTGGAAAATCACCTCAAAGTACATGATCGGTCATTAGCATTATTTTTACACATAAAGAAAAGGATAGGGATAGGAACTGGACCTGAGATTTCATTGGTCCCAGTACAGGTTAGCACCTTCTCTGCAGCTGCTCTGTGAGGGCTCAGAGAGTGCTGGTGGCACAGACAGGCGACAGGGGACATGACTTGTTCCAGCTCACATAGCTGAGATGTGATAGATGTAGGACTTGAATCTGCTTCTTTCTAACTTTGAGTCTGGCTGGCTGTCCACTACAGCCATAGACAAATAGTGCTTAAAAAGTACTGAACTCCTTTCACATCTTTTTTGATGACCTTGGGCACTATTATTACACCCCTGGATGAATGAGGTAAGTTCAGCTCAGCTTCATTCGTATAAATAGGTTTAATTTGTACTCCTACTGGGTAGCTGACTTTTACCGTACTAGTTGGGTGACTGCAGCACCATTCCCCCCATGAGGTCTGTCCTCTCTGGGCACCAGGGACTTGATCAAATTTCCATTGGCCTTTAATGAGCAACTTGGGTAGGTTTTTCCAGTATTAATAGAAGGGACTGCCCCAGAGCTATGCTGTTTCTTTGTCATTTTGCCTTCCCAAGAGTCATAGTTTTGATGAATGAACCAGCTTTTACAGATCTGCATCTTAGCCCTTTTCCATCTAGTCAGTGCTCCCCCATCAAGTCAGTAATGCCAGGTAATGATATCTTTTAGATCTAAGGTTCAAAGCACTAATGTTTAAGCCACTTTCATCTCCTATATTTTGACAAGAACTAGAGAGAGCTTCTTCCTGGATTTAGTTTATCTTGGTGTTCGTGAAGATGTTTACAGGCAGCAATAGTTGTGAATTGTAGATCTTTGCTCTCAAATTGCCCCTTCGTGCTTGGTCACCTTTTCTCATCATCAGTGTGTTTTACCATCCTGGAAACATTCACTGATAGCATTTTAATGGCCCTATCGAAAGAGAAAGTTGTGCTAGGCCTGTGCTCACTCACAGGCACACGAATGTCAAGAGGTTTGCTGCGCAGTAGGCTGAAGCTTAATACAGCTTCTTCTTGTTGTGTTGTTTGTCCTTCATTCCCAAAGAGGACCATGGCATCACGGAGGTGATGACATGACATGCGGGTGAATTGGATTTAAGTGAGGAAGGGCTGTGCAGGGTCGCCAGCCTCAGTTTCTCCTCCAGAGCCATCTGAGCCCAGTGGCCAGATAGAGATCTGGACAGCTAATCCATGTGGTTCGGATCCACCACAGTGGAGGAGAACAAGAATTCATTTTGAAAGCAGAAGATGACAGACATAATCATGGGTGAATTATGAAGGGAATTTTAGAACTGAAAATGAAATTACCTTCATTGGTTCTGGCAGCACATTTTGCTTCTTGTTTGATTCACTACTTTGGGAGATCACCTTGTTACAGCACGTTCTTTTTCTAAGTAGATACGTTTTCTTACTTAAATAGGATGAAGATATGATGAAGTTACTTTGTTCTAATTCCAGAATTTAAAATGTATTTTAAATAAGAGATTTTGATTGTGGAACCTAAAGGTCTAGTACTTTTAATGCTGAAAGAATTCAGCATTAATGACAAAAGAAACCCAACATTTGCTTCATTGTCCTAACCATCAAAGTGACAGAAAATATACAGGGACCTTTTTAACCTACTACTCAGGGATCTCAGAGTACTTTATAAACCACACAACAAACTTTTTTTTTTTTTTGGTGAGAGCAATTGGGGTTAAGTGATTTGCCCCAGAGCGACACAGCTAGTGAGTGTTGTGTGTATGAGGCCTAATTTGAACTCAGGTCCTCCTGATTCCAGGGCCAGTGTTCTACCTGCTGCGCCACCTAGCTGCCCGTAAACGTTTTAACCTTACCTGAAAATCAACTTCTATATAAGAAACGTGACTGTGGAACTCAGGTGAGATTTTGGCGTAACCTAACCACCGTATTGGACCCATTTGAAGATCATTCTCATTAGAAAAGCGTTATCCAGGTTGACACTGTTTGGAAGAAGGTAGCCGATGGAGCAATTTGAAGAGTGAGAGTTGTAGAGTACAGAAAACTAGTACAGAAAAACCTCGCCTTAACAAACCAAAAGGGAGTACACTGTCTGGAAAACTGTGTTTTTCAGAGGCTATGTGAGGATTGAATCCTAAGCTAGGTGACTTTGCTTTATGTGGTTACCCAAAATATTCAGAGAAAGCCAGTAGGTGATGTCTGACACTGAACTTAGGAAGCGATTTAGTGGTTTG